GGTGCGCTTTCATAGCGGCGGCCTGCTCGCCCCGTGCTGCCTCTCCGTTTGATGTCACCATGATATACCCCACCGTAAATGAAAAGGGAAAATATTAAGAACGCCAGGGTTCTCCTGGGGAGCTGGAAGCTCAACTCCACTTCTATCTATTGACTATATAGATAGATATTGTCAATATATTATATGACTATATATATTGACAGAGCACCATTTCAGACAGCAGGAAACCAGAATGTTTTTGTGTGAACACTGGTTTATAGAAGCACAGTTGAGGCCAGCCATGGCTATGTTACCAGATATATATGATCTGCTGAGCTAAACACTGGAAAAGACTTGTAGAAGGAAATGAAAGATCTGGGTCGAATGAGGGGGAGAAATCAATGGAAAAGGGAAGAGACAAGTTCAAGCAGCGACTGAACCAAAACAGGAGGAGAGGGGAGGAGACGGGAATGCTGCAGCTCGAGTGTCGGAGCAGGAAACAAGTGGATGTACAGCGATGGATGCGGCAAGCTACCTTCAAAAAAAAATGCACCCCAAAGCCACTATTGTGACTCTGTTGAGAAAGGTCCCTTGATTTCGATCTCGTATCTGACAAGTGCTTTGAGAAAAGCAGCAAGAAGGTGTTACGGAAGAATACATTCAATAAATGGAACAAAACTGAACGTTCATGCACCCCGAAAGAGCACAGGTCCAAGCGCTGCTGGCATCATCATGGGAGCAGAAAGCAAATGGAGTCTTTGCAGCGTATCTTTAACATTTTTAAGCAACTCTTCTTCTGTGTATACCACAGTTTGACCCATTCCAGGACTTCTGCGGAAATCAGGAGAGTAAGTGATTTCCTACTTTTTACAAGAAAACCCTTTAAAAATAACTCAAAAAAAATACTTGTTCAAAAGATCACTAAGCGGGGTATGCTACAGAAACACGTAAACAATGCCTCTTCCCAGCGCTACAGAACTTTGAATTTCAACATTATCATATACATGGAATAAAAAGTATATGTTCATCACAGTTAAATAAGGGAGAACTCAAGTACACTGAAATATATTTCCAAACTGCATTTCAGAAAGATACAAATCAAAAGCTTCCCCCAGAACATTCACAAAATTAGGAAAACATTCACCTGAAATTTCAGTGGGTTGCAGATTTAATCTTTTATTTACAGGTAATTCAATTTGTAGTTACTTTTTATATCTAATGCCTCTGATAAGAAAGAACGTGTCTAGAAAGAGTGCAAAATTGGCATTTTAGGGTCAAAAGACCCTTAACTGCTTAAGTTTTTGCTTTTATAAATGTTGGTATACTTAGTAATTAAAAAATACACTTCCTGATGTTTCTAGGAAGTCTGAACAGCCACTGGTTCATCACAATTCATGCAAGAATAACAGAGGAAATGTGATTACTTTTTCCACAGAGTTCTTAATAAATTACTAGCAGGTAAGCTTGCCTCTCCTGGAAGTGATTGTGATAACGTCTAGAAGTCGTTTTACTTTCGTCTTACGTTTTCCTTTCAGCACAGCAGTACCACTTGTGCTATGGCAGTCTGCTGGATAGCTCAGTGTATGCTGCCGGGTCTCTTTCAAGATCGTGCATTTTCCTCAACTGCCGTTTTTGCCAGAGCACACTATTAACCTCTGCTACATGAAACCAGTGTTGTTTAGATGAACGAATCTTTTGCATAGCGCACACTGAGTTCATATGTTTGTCTGTGATTGGTTCATGGCACAAAAGTATATATATATTTCCCATTCTGAAAATTGAGTTGATGATCTATAATTTTCATTTCCTTGTTGTAAACTGTAAAGTTTGTGGAATGTGAGAGCCTCTGGTTCATTACAGTATCTGATTAGGACTATTCAGTATAAAAGAAATAACAAGTGGTGAATTCAACATACAGACACACAAACATTAAGAAGCGATAAGGGAGACAACAACAAAGACCAGAACTCTTCAGCCAAGAACTGATGGGCCATTAAAGGAACTGCTCAGGCGTAGCCTCGAAGAGGGTCAGCCTGAACTTCATAATTGATAAGGGGGAAATACAATCATCATGCGTGTTATAGAGTATTTGGGAGGGCTTGTGGGACAGCGCAAAACTTCTTCTAGGATATCAGAAAGGTTTATAGGACTGCAAGACTTTTATGCAATATTTAGTGGAAGGGCCAAAGGTGGGGAAAGGGAAGGAGCAGGGTGGATCTGGAAGATCAGGCATGGGAAAACAGAAGGGAGGGGGGATAAAAGGAGCCAGTTGCCTGTAAGCAGTCTCCTGGCCAGTACGCTTGTCTGAGCCCTGCACCTGATCACAGCAGTCTATCCTCTCTTCTTAAAACCTTAACTGCTGTGTAATCTCACTCTCTAGCCTATGCACAAGTGCTGCAATGTCCAGGTGCCAGTGACTGGAGAACAGGCTGCAGGTCACAGGCCTCAGGGGTCTAGGTGCTGGAAACTGGAAGAACCAGGGTGAAAGAGAGGTCTGGATGCCAGCAACTGGCGAAGGGACCATTGGGTCCATAGGCCTAGGTGCCAGCAACTGGGGAGAGCAGGTGCATGCTGCAAGGTCTAAGTACCAGCAGCTGGAGAAGGGGCTGCAGGTCACAGGGTCCCATAGGTCTATGTGGCAGCAACAGGAGAAGCAGGGATGTATGTGCTTGTGCAAGAGGTCCACAGGCCACAGCTAGAAAGAGGGGGGTGTGCCTTTATTTCACCAGTGAATTTAACCCCGCATGCACAGACACGTTAAATTGCTAGCAAACTGCAGGCTGGATCATCCCATAAGAAGTGGACACACAGCTAGAAAGACTCAAGATCCAAGCCAGTAGCTGGGTAAGTGGCCCAGGGTCCAGGCCTGGACATGAGACAAACTTAAATATTTAAGGCATCTGTGATCGCAGGTGGGACAAGTATGTGAGTTTTGCTAGTGAACATCAAACTAGACTAGCTGGCAAGTAGGAAGAGAACTGCAGCCCAGACAAGGAGGCCCAGGGTCCAGGCATGGATATTAGAGTCATACTGACGATAAACTTGTGAATCAGGGGAGTGATTTTGGTGTTTTTGGTTAGTCAACTTCAATCACGGTCAGCCAGAGAGAAGGAACAAGACTTGGCTATCTGCACTTGTGTCTTTTGAGAGTTCGGGTAGTGTTATACATGGGTGATGCTAAAGCAGTGGTAGTTGCTGGTGTCCTCTGTGTGCGTCTCCAACTGTCTGCCTGGAATACATATTCAGCCTTACTACTGGCTGAATCTGTAAATGGCGACAACAGCAGCTGCATCCATCCCACTGGGATAGAGATACCTCCTGGGTTTTAAGAGAGTGCACCTGGCACCTGGAAGGAAGAACGGTTAGTGCCTGGAGTTCACTGATACGGGCAGCTCCCATGACACCCTTAACTGTACAGAAGAATACAGACATATGTAAGATGTATTGCTTTAATAATGCAAATTCATAGCTCAAAAGAATTAGCGCTTAAGAAATTCAGGTTAAAAAAAAAAGTTCCTTCTGTTTGCAGATGCCCAATGAAACATCACCCCATAGAGATTTGGAATCCAATCCTGAATTATTAGTGCAGTCTGCATCACCAGTAATGACATAATTAGCACATTAAGTGGAAATAAAGAAAACTGGAATGGGACATGGTCATTTTCATATTGAAAAGACAAATTGAACATACTAATGATGCAGACAAAACAAACAAATGGCACCAAGTGTATTGTAATGGCTAAACACGTTCAATGTTCAACTTAAAAGTTACCCAGAAAGGTAAGTTCTATGCAAAACCACGCAGTCTTCCCAAGTCATGGATGGTATGAACCACATTAAGTGTTTAAATGCTTTCAGTTAAAGTTGGAGTGCATGCTTCCTCTGCCATTACTGAAGCTCTAGTTTGTTACTGACTCTCAGTTTCAGTTACCATTCTCCGTTTTTATCAGTTCTTTGATGATGTGTAAAACCTTGTCATCTAGGAAAGAAAACAAAAACACAACAGTGAGTAGAAAAGAGCGAGTTTAAAATCTATTTCAAAAACAAAACAACATAACCCCCATAGAGGATGATTAACTCTTAACAACTTAAAAAATAGCCTGTGGAGCAAATAAGCAAATAATCCCGTCCACAATAGGGGACTGAGCATTTTTTAATAAACTTTCTAATGAATTGATGGCGTCCATTTCAATATTTCACATAAGCGATGGAGAAAATGAAGGACATAGCCACAGATACAGTGGCCTACTGGAACGCAGGTTCTTCCTCCCCATCTACAACATTCTTCTGAACTTCCAGTGTTAAGAGTTTAGATTACGCTTCTCTGTCCCTAAACTTTGGGGCCCAAGATTGCAATTCCCCATCATTACCCTACACTGTGAGACAACTTATGCAACACTTGAGATTCATCCATGCTTAAGAGGTTCATCACACACACAGTTATTTCTGTTTTAAGAAATGCACCTTACCATTACTACCAGTACTATAAAAGCTGTGTCAGGGATATCTTTAAAGCAGCAATTGTGCAGATCCTCATACATTCCTACAGAATATATGTAGGATCAGTAATGACTTTTGGGTGTCTCTAAAGATAATAGAGCTATATTCAAGTTACACTAATCCATTCTGGGCAACGATGCAATGTACTAACACTTTCTCAGGTTTGCCACAAGGTCGATATGGCAAATTTTTATGCCAGTAGTCTAGTAAAATTACCTTCGAGAGACATTTTAGGATTTTCAAGCTTCTTCTTTAGAACAGACTCAATGAGAACTCTCAGTTGTTTGAAAATTACTGCAATCTTCACAGGAGCCTGTAAAGAACAGAAGACAAGCATTTTGATTATTCTCAAAGACATTTTGTACCAAAATATAGATTAAAAGATTACCTGGCATATTAGAAAAATTCCTGCAAATATCATGCATATGCTTAATTTTAAGCATGCAGACAGCATACTCATGAAAGTACTGGGCTTACACTATACCCTCTTATCTTTAAGCACCTTCTCTTTGTAGCATCACAGCCTAGAAGAACAGCAGCTCAGAAGAATAGCCCACAACATTCATATACAGATCATAAACAACCAGCATATGGTGAAATTACTAGACATAAGTTAACTGATATCCTCCTTATCCTTGTTTTCTTGTTTACATATGAAAAACAAAAAACCAAATCTACTTGTATTTAAGGACAACTTGGATATATTTTTTTAAGCCAGTATAGTTGGCGCTTGTGTTGTCCATTCCTCCACTACTTATTAACTACATTCTAGTTCTTTCTGTACAGGAACTGCATCTCACAAAAACTGATGGTCAGGGCACTAACAAGTGGTAGAAAACAAATCTGAATCCAACCTTTATCATTTATATCTGAAACAAAATATCTATCTACACCTCTGCCCTTCCCCTCAGGAGGATCTATCTGGCCTCCTGAGAAAGCAATTGCAAACCTCTCCTAAACCTTGTCAATGATTTTGATAGCTAAAGATGGAACCTTCCCTCTCCATCCCTCCCTCTTCTAGTCTCTGTTTCAGTCGTATATTGTCTGTAGTAGGAAAAAGTAGCAAAAAACAGGCATAAAATGCAACATATATTCTGCTTAGCATCTCAGTTAAAAACAACCACATCTTTATGAAACATATTACAAGATGTAATGTGCCCAGCAATTGGACAACCTGTGGCCCCCCAGGGACGACAGAATTCTCCCACAAACACATAGGAAAGCTGATTTTTAAAATTCTGGATGTACATGAAAACTGGTGAATTCAGTTAAATGATTGTTTGCTTGCATCAGGGTTTGGGTATGCAATTTTTACTTTACAGAATGAAGAAAAATTAAAGTAGTTTGTAGTTTATACTCTTCCTGGTGTGTAACGTAGGTCCCACAGAAGAAGAGAAAACTAACCAAGTAGCTTGCAGACTGGCAAAAGCCAATTCTGCCATTTTACAAACTCTTCATTAGATTTAGGCGTATGACCTGTTTTAATTTTGACTGCTAGAATATACTAAGAGCGCGTTGTCAGTTTTCCCATTCCTAAGGGAACCTTGTTGTAAAAAAACAGAAAACATCTCCCCCCACTGCAAAACCAATGGGCACAAGAGGGCCCAAACCCAAACAGAAGTTTTTTTCCATTTAGATTTCTTCTTTCTCAAGTTAACTCCATTTGGGCTACAAAGAAATATTTTGAAGATAAACAGATGCCTACGTGCTTATAAGATTGTAGCAGAGAACAACATAAATCAGTACCCTTACCTGCTTTCAGTACCAGCTCTACAAAAAAACCCCAGTTTAGTTTAGATCTATTTCCAGTAATAGTTTTTCTGAAAGCACACTGACTTTCTTCATGAAGAAAGATGGAACTGATTTGTTACAAGCCACAAGGACTAAACTATTCTTGCAAGTGTAATTGGCTAAAATTTCATTACGTGCTTACCAAGTTTCCCATCATTTCCATTAATTCTCTCCCACCTTCATCCCAAGTACAAGTACATAATGTTCTGAAACAAACTTGTACATCAACTGTGTAACACAAAAGCAAACAAAACTACAAAAGGTAGTTACTGCCCCAACACACCTGAAAATGAATCCAACCATCTACAGACAGGAGACGCTCTCGATGCTGGACTTCTATATCCCCACCAAAAAGCAAAATGGGAAAGGGGGAAATTAAAGTAGTCTCTCTCAAGTACACCTTAGCGTACCTCACCTGCATATAAACAAACACAAACGTTAAAAAGGCCCCAAAATATACAACATCAAATCTGAATGTTAATTTTAAAAGCAAGAGTTACACTTTTTTCTTTCTTTCTTTCAAGATCTGATCCACACAAATTATTGTGCAGAGAAAAGCTGGTGGCCAACTGTCCGCCCTATACCAGGTGTAAGATGCATAGCATTTAGACCTCTAAGAGGCAGGCTTATGGGCTACGAGGAAAACATCTAAGGCCACAATTATACTCGTTTAAATTTAAATACAAAGATAATGTCAGCCCAGTGCTTCTAGTGGTAACCAGAAAAGAGATCAAAATTAGTAAACCTACTAAATGAAAAGGCAGGTAAAAAACTCTTCCATCAGACATCCTTCTCAGCAGCAGCTAGCTTGTCAGTCTCTATATATGCATACATGCTTGCACACGCGTACACAGGCATGCATATACACATACACAAGAACATAAGTATGGACTAGACTCAGCATATGCTGCTTCTGGTTTTGTGGCTTCTCACAGACATAGAGCAAACACGATGGGAGAGAAGCTGTAGTGGGAGGACAGGAAACAAGAATTCTTCTCCTGGTAAAGCAGCCATTCTGTAGGTCTCTCTTGATTTACAGAGAAGGGACGCACTTGAGCTTTACCTTGTATCTTTACATAGAAAAAGCAGGCTTTGTTCCACTGCTTATGGAATAACTTATTTGCCTTAGCTGCTGTCTTGCCTTTAGACTAAAGTTTTTGGGGGCCTAGAATATTTTCGGCTCTCTGAAAAATGCTATCGCTTCATATGTATCAAGAAGCGTAATGTAATCTCCTGCTTAGTTGGCTGTTAAGCAACTCCTGTCATGTTTTTGTTGTACCAGAAGTTTATCTATCTAAATATAAAAACTTAGCTTTAGCAAAGAGTTAACAAAGTTTTTAATAGGGAGGGGAAGAAGAGTGACAAAACCAAAATTGAGTTAAAGTTCAGCTGTCAATTACAGAATTGGGTATTTATGCATTTTAAGTTATTACTGGGAATATGAGAGGGCCTGTGCTAGGTTTCAAAACCTTAAAGCCTGCTTAGAGCAGTTAAGAAGCAAAGAAAACACACGCTTTAAAAGTGCTACCACTACATAAGTGCACTTATCACTGAGTAAAAGTGGTCATCTTTAAATCAACAGCACTATATAAAAAAAAGTGAATGCTACTATGAAGTTAAAGGACAGAGAAAGGTACTTTATGATGAAACTAGTAGCTATAAATTGAACAGATTTGTCCACCTTGACTTCCAGACAAAATTTCTCTGTGCTCTCGTCAGCAACCAAATGACCCATTTTTATTGACTTTAGGGACATAAAGATACTAAGGGCTTTAATATGTTTAACACCAGAGGCATAACGCCACTGTCAACTACATCCACAGTTTTCACTTAGTTATCCTTCTGATATAGAGTCATAGGCTTACCTTCTCTTGGTAAAGAAGCCATCCATATATCTGTAAGTCTCGATTTACAGAGGAGGGATGCACCTGTGCTTTACCCTGAGCAGTTTCCACCATGCACGCCAGCTTCTCTGTGATATCCACAGACTTTGTGTATATTATTTTTCCTACGTTGTCATACAGCCCTGCAGTCAACACAGCTTTAAGAAGAGCTATTTCCTCAAGAGAAGGGGGTTGCATAGCTCCATTTCCATCCCATCCACGTTGAGTGGTAGGCGCTGTGAAGCCTGCTGCTCTGACCACCCTTATGAGTTCTTGCTTCACATCCTGAAGAGTAAGACATTAATAAAATTAAAAAGGTACATAATACTCCAGTCCATCAGCAGGCAATAGCACTCCATTCCAAGCATTCAAGATCTCTAATGGAAAACCCTGTCACTTAAAAACACTCTTCCTTTTTGCAACCATCTTGGCACTTTCACCATTTCTATGAAGAAAACATAAGGAATATAGGATTAGACGGGCTGCAAATTCCAGATCTCCCAGTTGTAGTTAAAAACAAAAAAAGTCAAACAAAAAACACACACAGAAAACAACCAAAAACACTCCCACATGTAACCCACTCCAAAAAAGACAAAGCGTTTGCATGAAGCATTGGCTCCTGCCAGGAGTTCAGTCATTCAAACTTAACCAGGAAAAACTAATTAGAACATTTCCTCACCAAAAAAGTTCATTTAAGTAAGATTCTGGATCGTCTTTCAAACTAAGTGTGAAACACACCTACTTTTGGATATCAAGAATGACACAATTTAACTAAGCATTTTAATTTTAAGTTTTGATTTTCTGGTGGAAGCAAGGACTAGCTTCTCCAATGCAAGCGACCGCAAAGACAAATACCAAAGTGCGCACATTGAAGAAAGTTAGTGCAGACAAAGCTACTTGGATTGAGGGCATGCCTTTCACCAACTCCCAATATCCCTGTTCTTGTCACGTTCTAAATATTAACTATGTTTTAACACTACTTTAAAAGGGTAGGACATTCTCGGAGGGAAATTTTAATAGATGTGTTTTGAGTGCAGAGTATAATTACATGATTTACCTCCAGAGTCAATAGCGACGTCCTGTTAAGGAAATTTCTTCTGCAATAAGTCATTTCAGCACGATATCCTCCTTCTTGTCGAGCCTTTTTCCACCTAAGGAAAAAAAGAAATCTTGTCTTATTGCAGCAAAAAGAATCGTATCAAGAGCATAATAATAAAAAAGTGATAATAAGTTAAAATACTGTGTTTTGCTCAGCATCTTCCACTCAAAACCAAAATTAACTGGTTTTGATGAAGAATACTGTTGTTCTACTAACATCCAAGAAAGCATACTTGTAACAAATTTGACGGACGATAACAAAAATACAAAGGCAATTTCCCCCTCTAAAAACTGCATATACTTATTTCTTGACAGTTGAAGTGAAAAGCAGTTGTAATTTTTGAGTCCTAGGGATGTTATCCTAATGAAATTACGTGTAACGTATATATTTTGTATATTTGTAAGGGCAAAATAAATATTTTACACACTAGGATAAACAGAAGCAGTACACCTTTGTACATATGCAGGAAAAGCTAAAAGACGAGCCTCGAACTAAGCGAGCCATCCTTTTGTAGCATGGTATTTGTAAATCTGGTGTCATTCTGAAGGGAAAAACTTCAGATACAAGGAATTCAAGAGAAGATACTAAATCAGGACTCCAAGGAAACAACAGTACTTAGAAATGTTAAATTAAAGATTCTATTTGTATTTAGTTATCAGGACAAGAAAATATTATTCACCCAAGATAGGCATTGTAGATTGTTATATGGTCTGAAATCGCCACTGCTAGAGATGATTTTGCAAGATCTGCTTCATCTTTTCGACCAATTGGTGTAGTAAACGGTGATTTTTCTGTCATTACAGCAGCCAAAGTTGCCTGCAATTAATAAAGCATACCTCACTTTTAAGAAGATTATTTTATTAAAAAGTCAACTTACAGATTTTTCGTACAAATAGCTTTAAGTTTTCTTTTACAGCAATATTCACAATGCTTTTGTCCTTCACTAAGTCTCAGGGAAGATTGATTACCTTGAAAATTTACTATGCAAAATTTAAAAGGTATTGCTTACATACTGCCTCATGATATACTCATGAAAAGTGCTTTCCAGCAATTTACTGAATATCAAAACTCACACAAAATAATTTGTCAAATGAGAGCATAATACCCAATATAATACACTGTAGGGTCAAAAGATTAAGAAATTGCTTTAGATCATACCAAATTAGCAAGAGAAACAGAGAATGAAGAATATTAATTTTCAATATTCAGCAGCCAAATTATCCACACTTTTTCCTAACATGCAGTAAGTTAGGATGAAGTAAAAATGTTAGCATGTATTACAGTCCTCCCGTAAGTTACCACGTCAATTCATTTGCAGTAGCTTTCCATTAGCATGTTCTTTGCCCATACCATATGCAAGGTAACCCAGCCTGGCCTAACCCACATGTAAGAGAGCTCTTTCCCCCAAACATCATGGTCCCTGGGATAACAGACAGAATTGGACACCAAACTCTGACCAATCTATTATGAGTGGCACGCAGGAGTTTAACAACAGTTACATTACTCTCTCCTTCATGATAGCCACCTTAAAATTCACATGTCTTGTCTTCTCCTATCATCCTTTCAAAACACCATGTTGCAAGAACACACACTAATCTTAGAGTTGACTGTTTCTACGTTGTTATTCTTTTTAAAATATTTAAGTAAGAGACAGCAACATTCGTTTACTCACCACAGGATCCAAGCAGCCAAAGATAGCACCAAATATAAGCATTTTGCCAATTTTAACATTGACAGGAATGGCTGCAAGGTGCTGGCCCAGTGGAGTCAGTTTGGGCTCATTTAATTGACAAGCCCCAATCTTCCTTAACAAGTTCATTGCGTTACTGATTACTTGCAGCTGTGGTGGGTCTAATGCTCTGGAAAGGAAATCTTCAGGAGAGCCAAGGTTGCATTTCTGTGGATTGAATGGGCAAGTATTTCAATATAAAGCCTATTATACCAGAAATTAACTAAAAACAAACACAACAATTTAACCAACTTTTACAGTAGCTACAAAGGGAACTTGGAATGCACTGTTCTTGCACCCAAAAGCACACATTCCTCTCCCTCTAAACCAGCCCCTCAGTCTCCAGAACGCAGCAGAGGTGTCCCACATTAGGTTAACATAACTTATTGTTCAGACAGCTTAGTATGGCATGAGACTGATCACAGAAGTGTGTTACCAGTGCTCACACACAAGCAGAAGCCTCTGTGAGGGACCTGTTGAGATGGAGTTAGCTTACAAACACCTCGCAATCCAGATCCGTGAATGCAGAAGGGTGAGATACCATCCTTCTGCAACAGTTTTCCCATGCATGTCCTACTCACTCAGAATACTGGGGGAATGGCAGGGAAATGCTTCTTTAAGCAGAAAGAAGTTTGAAGAACATTTAAGTCAGAGTTGGAATTGTTATTCTGAGTTGAATTGGAATAGTATAGAGAGCTGTCCCAGTCAGCAGCATGCTCTGGATTTTCCAAGATACTGAGCACTAGATTCCCCACTGGAGGGAGAAACCCCGCTAGCTGCACTAGATTAGGGAAGCTAGCACATCTTTTTAGCTAACAAAGTGAGGATAATTCTACAAGCCAAACCATACCATAATATGAAGGCATAGTTCTTCCAAAGGCACACGTAGTATTTCTGGAACAGAATATTCCATGAAGCTTTCAAACCTGTAACATCAAAAAAATAGGAGAATCACGGACAGTCAATGTAATGCTTGGATTCAAGTTAACACCTTAGGTTTCGCATGCTCATTTTTTGCAGGGAAAGCACGTGGTTTACTGCACAGGTAAAATGCTTGTCCTCTAAATTAAGGTGCGTGCAGTAGTTTGGAAGGCAGGGTTTTAGTGAAAAGAAAGGTAATAGGACATTTATTTTCAAAATAAAATACTAACGACGCATAGCTCTTGAACTGGAAGTTTTGCATGTGGCTAAAATGCAAGTATTTTAAAACGACCAATGAAGTATGCTTTGAAACAAAGTTAAGGTCAGAGTAGCTTCAGTTAGGAGCAGAAAAAAAAAAAACCCTTTCTCCTCAATTTTTAGTATTACGCTGCAGTAACAGAAACCGTAAGTCTGCTGTGACGTACAACTTTATCTTTGCCCATCCCTAATTCAGAGACACCACTTCAGGAAAGTGAAAATTTGTGCGTTAAGATGAAAACCTCAAAGTTCAGGAGGTAACATTTGTGTATATCATATGCCAGGGAAATAGACGTTAAAAACAGATCTTCCACAATGCTGCTCTTTTCTTTTTGCTCAGGGCAGGAAGGGGAGGATTGTTTGAAAGCCCTTGTATCACAGAGATATTAAGAATACAGTTCACTTTTTAAAAGGTGTCAAGAAATAGCACAATTAGTATTAATACAGCACTATTTATAAGATACTCAAAGTATCTATATATTAAAGAGTTGAATCTTTCTAGCTTGCAGGAACTAAATAAAAATTCAACAAGATTTTTTTGTTTTGTTTTTCATACAATGAAAAGTAGGCTATTGAAGTGATTTATAAGAGCTAGCTAACTAAGTTCACAGTACCTGTCTCTCGTGTACATTCGGAAGCAGAATCCGTCCCTAACACGCCCAGCTCTTCCTTGTCGCTGCAAAGCACTAGCTTTACTAACAAAGGTCTCCTCCAGGGAGCTCATTTGACTGCTTTCATGATACCTTAAAAATTGTAAAGTGCATATTCAGATTTCAGAATTAAAATTCTAAGGCATAGTTAATATCTAACTATGTAAAATATCTGTACATCTAGAATATATAAATAATTTTTTTTTCAAATTATTATGTTTAGCTTTGAAAACTAAGCATACCTAGTGGAAGCTTAGATACAAATTGATTAAAGTGTTAAAATTGGAAAGAGTAAGAATTATTATATTAGTTGAAGTTCATCTCCCTGCCCACTCAGAGCTGTTCCTTATCATACATTTTATAGAGCTTCCCACATTTAAAGTGGGCAAAAAATAACTTCTTAAAACCGAGATAAGAAGGATCTACTTTACTTTCAAATGAGTGCTTAGTCATCACGCTCCATATATATGAACTCCCCTTGTTCTTTACATCATTTGAAAAAAGACTCCTCCCACACTCATACCTAAACTGCAAGCCATCTAATGAGTATATTTTTTTGTCCAGAAATGCAGGTTAAGAAAGATGCTACAAACAGCTTGCAGTGCCAGCCTCCACATATTCACAGTAACCACAGTATAACTTACTAAAAACCAACCTCTTACCTGTTTTCTTTTGTTCTCCCAGTATCAATTACAAAGACCACATCCGGTATTGTAATGCCTGTCTCCGCTATATTGGTTGCCAAAACAATCTGAAATGAAGTAACATAACATAAAATAATTACGGAATATCTGACTAATAATTTTCATCATTTTAATTGATACAGTTGGAATAATTTTGGTAAACGCTAATTACAATCACAGAACGGTTGAGGTTGGAACTCTTCGGTCGATCTCTGTAGAGATCGCTGCCTAGGTTACACTGCTCAAACAGGTACACCTAGAGCAAGTTGCCCAGGAGCCTGCCCAGATGGCTTTTGAATACCTCCAAGGATGGAGACTCTACAGCCTCTCTGGGCAACCTCTTCCAAAATAAAATAAAATATTACTAATACATTATTACACATTACAGCTTATAATACCTACATTATTTATATTTAGCACATATTAACACATACAATCAACGCATTATGTAATATTTATGTTAGATATATTATTTAGAACATGTATTATACTATTTATAACATTTAATAATATTATAGTATTACAACTAAAAATTTTGGTAAAAAGTGTTTCACACAAATATTTTCATTAATAATTAAATGACTGCAATTGTAGAACAGTTGTCTTCCCCAATTACTAAGGGATCGTGACTTAAGTGGGAATTTCACATGTTTTTGGTTTTACTTTTGATTTTATAATCCCAAGTTGCTAGCTAGTATTTGCCAAAACTGGTCAGCTTTTAATTGGATTGTTCGGCAGTAAGTAAAATACTATTTGCTACATAATATACTTACGTAGTTAAAACAGTTTTAATAAAGGAAAGTAACAACCGGAAAAAGTTCTTAGGAAAACATTAGTTTTGATAGTTTGCCTGATTACTTTCAAGGTTTTCACAGCATGCTAACTTCTATCTGTTAGCGAACACCAAGGTAGAAGAATTCTTTTCGGTAAGAAAATTTCAGGAACAACTGGTTGCTGCGTAATTCTCCAGGATTTAATTTTAAAAGCATTCGGTGTTGCACTCTTCCCCTTCCCCTCCGCTGTTTTTTTGGTCTTCTTTCAGTGGTGAACTTGCTTTTCTAAATGCATCTTACCTTTCTAATGCCAATAGGAGGTATTGTAAATGCTGCTGCTTGATCTTGAGTTGAAAGAACAGAATGCAAAGCTATCAGCCTGTGCCTGAAAAAGGGAATTATACTAATCAATACGTATATTATGATACACTATGAATGAGATCAGAACGATGATGGCAGGATGAAGAAACTAAAAAGAACACTGGAAAGAGTAAAACTTTCTACAATTAGGTATGAAAATTATCTTCAGTATTTTATTAAGATGTCAAAAAAGGATAACATTGTTAACATCATTACTTCATAGAGCTGTTCTCCCATTTGGCAATAAGGCAGGAAAACTACTGTTGTAGAACTCTAGATTAGTTTACATTGATAACATAGTGAAAACTGGAACTAGGTGCCCGTGAACCTGAGTTCTTCACATTATGCTTCTGAGATAAGGGCCATGACTGAAACTGTGTACAGAACTATAAGCACATGCAAATTTCAGGCCAAGTAAGAAAGCCCTTCAGAAATGAGACAGCCACAGAGACTTGGACTTTCCTTCTCCTTCAATTCTAGATCTAGACACCTAAGTCCGTTTTATGAACCTTTAGAATTTGACTGTATGTGTTCTTTCCATGTCATGGTGTTGCTAACTCATAGTTAGCTGTAAAAAAAATTTGAAAAACTGTCTGTCACTGCAACTCTGTGCTGGTTCCCCTGGTAGATTACTGTCTCTGGTTCCCCTAAGTAGCAGCCATTTCCATGTAAATAGTAAACTGGAAAAAAACACGTCCCAGATATGACAGCTCCTATATCTTAAGAAGTAGAAACAACGTAGTTGAGTGCTTTGTGATTATATAAGTTTGTTCAAAAGTAACATCAAAAGAAAGAGACAGTTACAACTGTACAGGATCTAAGCACTTGTCATTCTTGCTTGTATCATTTTTAGATAATAAATAGATGTTTGTAGTAAAAACAGCGCAGAGGTACAACTCTCAACAACTTCCCTTAGAAAGAATAGCTGGTCTTAAAACCTAAGAAGAAAGTAGTCATCAAATTAAACAACCTAACTTTACAGAAGAAAAAAAAAAAAAAAAGAAATCTGCATTACCGGTCATGCAAGTTAAATCTTCTGTCAGTTGAAATGAGATCATACAGCTGTTGGATATGAGCAAGGCCTGGTAAAAATATCAGCACAGCACCTTCAACATTTTTGAACTGGGGACTTCTATCTGGAAAGTTACAGCATAGACACCTAATTAAAACAAACACGCATTTGTGAACAGACTCATTTGAGAACAGGAACTAATTCTGAGCCCTGCAGTAAACACTTTTTAGGATGTTTCATGTAATAAGAATGAAGTCAAACATCCTTATCAGTAGCAAGCATCAGGAAATAAATGCATTGAAAGGACAGTCCCGAAAATATAACTTTATTGAGTAGCAGACTGTACCTAAGTATGCAAGCAACTCCAAAATAAGTTCAAGGTTGATCTTGTAAGGGTTCATATAGAAGATTGCTTGCTGTGTTCGACTGCTATACTTGTCATAGTAAGGAGCCAAATCAATACCAGATCCAGACTGGATTGGGACATACTCCTAAAATAGGAAGAAAAGCAAAAGTCACATTCTTAATGTTTTCTCAGAAAGTAAAGGAAAAAATGATTTTTTTATGTCATTCACTTAAGTTTCTTAAAATGAAGACTGAGATTAAAAAAAAAAAAAAGACATTTATTCTTATTAACTCCCCATTGAAATCGGCACGAGTTAAGTTTTTAATCACACAAACATCTAGATAATTTGTGCATAGGTATCTACTACTGATAAATGACACTCCAGATTTAAAACAAATAAACAAAAAAATTGAAGTCTGGGCAAGTAGCACTATACAGTTTGTTTTACTAATGAAAACCATTCACAGGTCCATATCCAGCATCCAGCCTGCATCAATTCAAAAAAAAAAAAAAAGAGAGATAGAAAAAGGATGATAGGGCAGCTATTTTTCTTTCAAGACTGTTTTAATCTCAGATTTTGGAGTGTAAGAAACTAATCTCTCCCTTCTTCTCTCCCTTCCCTCCCCTCCTCAATTAACAATTGCAATGAAAGTTAACAGAGAATCGGGCAGCAGATCCTGCAGTGTTCTGGGGCGGGGTAAAGGGAAAGAAAGGGGGAGCGAGCAGAACGTACAGACATTTAAGTTGTCTATAAATATCGTAGAGATACGTAACATAAGACTTCCAAGTTAAGTGGCACAACTGCAAAATTATTTCTTCGTTAATCAAAAGAAGCAAGCTTGCCACCGCATATCCTTCTGTACCAGAGGCTCAACAGAACTAACCCAGAAAGATGGAGTAGCACCGAGAAGAACACTTGGGCTTCAACTAATAGATCACAAGAGGGTGCTTAATGGAACCACCACTCCAAGAGGGAATAGCAGAGCATATAAGATCGGATTTTGAGTATGAGCACCAGTGTTTGTTCACATGGAATTAAGTAGTCCTGTAGATACCTCCAAAGAGCATGTCAGAGCACTGATAGGTGTCTGTGCAAAGTATACTAACACCCTAGATGAACAGCTTAAGGAAGATGTCTACAGCTAGATGGCACTCTTACAATCTTCCCTTCAAGAGTTTTAATCTAAAAGCATGTATGGCTGTCACTGCAAAAAAGTTCAAGGATTAACCAAGTTCCGGTGATCCAAGAAGCTCTACGTAAACTGATGAAAACAGTCTTACTGGCATCCCAAGTTGAAGGATCTTGGTTTTGCTTGTCTATGGAGGATATGGCTTTGCCTTTTCTGCTCTTAGATTCACAACTGGGGAGAATTGCTCAGGAGAGATAACTGAAGTGCTTTTTCCAGCTACCACTTACGAACCCAGAACTGGGAATTTGCACAAGAGAAACAACAGAACCCAAAGTGTCAAATACAGCACAATCAAGGCAGCTGTGCAGGATCCGTACATAAGGGTACTAATTTAATAAGTATTTGGTTTACGCTGTAGAAGTGCCACTGTGTCCCACTATGTTTTGCATTAATTGTTGAAGGAATATTACATTATACAATTCAATCACATTTAATACAAGCAATTAAAAACCCCTCAAATTTTCCAAACCTACATCAGAAATACCTGTTTTACCTGATATTTTGTAGTGCCTCCTCCTTTGCTAGTAACATTTATTGCTATTTCTTCCTCCTCCTCCAAGAACTTCTGACAATATTCTGAGTCTCTCTCCAGAACGTATCCAGTTGCTTCAATTACATCTTCAACATGGAAAATCTATAGTGAAAGTTCACATACACACACACACACACACACACACACACACACACAGAAATACAGGGCACGTCAAAGAACACTCAGCAGCTCTTTTGTTCTTTAAAGGTTATGTATAAAGGTGAATGGGAGACCTCCCCTTTTAATGCTGTACTAGATCTTGCATATTTCAACTTTTCGATTCTTCTTATGATCTTTGAAAGCCTGAATTCAGAGCTGCTGTGAATTTTTGTTAATGAATCTCTCTACACGCTCACTTCCATTAGCTTTATCATAGCATACACTGTGCATGAGAAACACACAAGAGCGTAATGAGAAAGCTGAAGGGAGAAAAGTTCTTTGACTCTTCATTTCCCTTACTATCTAGGTGGATTAGGGAGAAAATCAGAATATCATTGCCATTAGATGGACTGATATCAATCAATTTATAATAACTCTCTCTCCCAAAAAAAGTACAACCCTATATTTCAAATCACTAAAGCCATTTTGTATTTTCAAAACTGAAAAAGTTCAGATTACAAAAAGATTGCAAGTCCTTGAAACACAGATTTAAGATATTTTCTCCTAACTACAGATCTATAATATAGTTACATTTACTATAGGCAAAAACTAGGAAAACACTGTATATGTACATGCAAAGCATTTGGTATAATCAAAGAAACATTTACCTACCTCAACAGGGTAACTCCTCCCCGAGATCCTTAAAATGGGACAGTGAGAGAAATAGCTGGAAAACTTATCGCTGTCTACAGTAGCGCTCATTAAAATCAGATGCAGGTCTGAACGTCTATGCAAGATCTCCCTCAGAATAATTAGCAAGAAATCAGACTGGACACTTCTTTCATGTACCTGGAATTAGAAAAATATAAGCTATAGTAAGGCATTAGTACATGCAAGGTCCCAGAACAACTATTGTTTCTGCAGAATAGTAAGAGCTGATAACCTCATCTACGATAACATGAGATATACTTGAAAGAAGACCATCTTCTTGAAGTTTCCGAAGCAGAACACCAGTTGTACAGTATAGCAGTCTAGTGGCTTCTCCTGTTCTTGATTCCATACGAATTTGATAACCACACAAGGAATTCTTTAAAAAAAGTAAAATAAAATAAAATCATGGAATGGTATTCAAAATACAGGAATAACTTAAAACAGCATACAAGCAAGAGATATTCAAAATGAAATGAAATTTAAGCACTGTTCAATTCCAACATTGCACAGGTTGCTGATTAAAATAGCATGGTGAACTGACTACAGCACTGTTTTTTCCACACATCCATTTTACTTCATTAAGATTCTAATGTATTTTCTCTTTCTAAAAGCCACAGTTTCTCCAGAATAGTAAAGGACTGATAATTTCAGGGTTCTTTTCAGATTTTTGGCAGGCCTCAAACAAAAACGTTTTTGCGATCGGGGTATGGATTCCCTGTAGGGATTTCACATGAACAGACTGCCATAAAACAGTGCTTTTCCTCACATCACAGGACAACTAAGGTTGCAAGGGACCTCCGGAGGTCATCTGTTTCAACCCCTCAATCAAAGCAGGGCCAAGCTTGAAGTCAGACCGGACTGCTCAGAGCCTTAGAGTGGAGCTTTCAGTTTCTCTAGTGACGGAGATTTTACTATCTCTCTGGACAATCTGCTCCATTGCATCCCCATTATTAAACTCCTTTGTTCTTAGTCATTCTCTAAGTTTTTTTTGTTGGTTTTTTTTTTTTATTTTAGAAATCATGTATGGATTCCCAAGGATCCACAGATGACAATTTGAAAAAAAAAACAAAACCAAAAAACAGCTGACATTGCAAGAAGTCTTTTTCAAGGAAAAGAATACCTAAATATTTGGTTGTGTGAGAAATAATGTTTTCGCTTGGACCAAGAATCCAGGTCCCTACAGGTCTAGTAGCTCAAGACTAGAAATATGGATCAAAAAGCATCTTACTTTTCCTCCAGGTCCAGATTCACAGCCTAGTTCTTCACAAACCCGCGTTGCCAGGCTCACTGCTGAGATTCTCCGGGGTTGCGTACAAACAATATTACATTTACTCGATCTCTCGTCTAGTAACAAGTCTTCTAACAAGAAATGAGGCACCTGGGTACTTTTCCCACTGCCTGTTTCACCAGCCACAACAACTACTCGATGTTTTTTAAGGGTTTCTACAATCAAATGTCTATGCTTAAACACAGGTAACTCCTGTCTCTCTTTCAGAAGCCTCTGATATCTGAAGGAACTTTGCAGCTTTTTGAACAAAATTCTTGAAGGTTCCAAATCATCTGTGTCTGGGGTCTCAAGGGAGAGATTGCTGAAGTCCTCATCAGAAACTAAGTTTTCCCAAGAATCTTCAGGATCCTCGGATACTTTGGGTTCGTTTTCAGACTGCAGCTGCTGCTGCTGCTTGAGTTTATTTAACAGTTTAGCAATAAAGTTGTCACGAGGTTTGTTGGTTTCTATCTTGTTTTCTTCTTCCTTTTTCTTTTCAATGTCACTCCATTCTAGCCAGACATCTCGATAAGTAGGAGGCAGCAACTGATGGACTGACTTCAGGTAGAAAGATCCGGAAAAAAGTTACTGTATGTACTACTCAGTAGTAACGCTAACATTTCATGTATAAATGAATGAGTGGTAAGAGATATCATAAAATGAAATATAGAGCCATTTCTAAGTACAGAACTATGCACAGAGTAACATCAAAATTTACAATACACTTTTTACT